TCACTTTCAGAGCAGTGCTAACCACACCATGACCCCGGCGACTCCTCTTATATCCACTGTCTTATCTCTACCAACCCGCCACAGCACCCCATACCTCAGCCTTCTGTCTCCTGGTTCTCTGCAGCTGCCTCTACCCTGTGAAGGGAGGAGGAGGTGAAGTGGTGGAGGAGGAGGATGTGGGGGGGTGGTGGTCAGTGACTGAGCTCCAGGCCTGTCCCTGCTCATTTCAGGTTAACCCATCTGCATTAGTAGCAGCCAAAGTGACAGCTGTCAGCGGCAGTGAGAGCTCTCTGTGCCCCCATCCCCTCCCCTCTCTCCCCCCACTCCTCCATATGTCCTTGGAGCATGGCCAGGGCAGAGGAGAGGAGAGGAGAATAGAGTTGAGAAAGTAGATGGAAGGAAAGGAGAGAAGTAAGGAGCAAGAGGTGATAGGGAAAAATGGGGGAAAAAAATATGTGAACAAAGAAAAGAAAGTAAAAAGAAAAAAAATTTAATTAAATTTAAGATAAAGAAAAGGTCTGAGAACCAGAGAAACTGGAAAAATTAGAATTTGAAAAATAGAAAAATTGAGATAGAGACAAGAAGTTGCAAAAAAGACCAGAAAATAAAAATAAAATAAAATATAGTTATTTAGAGCAAGAACAGGAGTTCTTGCTCTGGAGTTGTTTGATTTCTCCACAGGGACACCCCCGACCTCTCTGCAGCCTCACCGACTGCATCATTTTCATCTATTTTATGAGAAACCACAGCTGATCTTTGGCCTCTCTGTGGCCTCGGAATCATGCACTGGTTTGTGTGCGAGCAGCGCCGCCTGTTGTCCAAAAAACAAATGGCAGCTCGACAGCTTCAGCGGCGACCTCAGCGTCATCCTGCCGCAGTGAGTCTCTCTCTACTCGGGCTTCATTTCAACATCACACCGCTGCGGCCGCAGCAGCTTCAGAGGAACTGAGGTGAGATTGAAGTGAATACATTTCATCACCGTTGACACCGTGATATAAGTGTTAATAATATAAGTAGTAATAATAATATACTTGTTTTATTATTTTCCTTCTTTATGTTTGTCTAAATAGAAGCTTAAAAGTTTTACTTTTTTTACAGTGTGATTTTTAAAAAAGTCACATAAATTATTATCACAAAGTGAAAGGCAGGAGCAGAATACAAAAAAAATTTCCATGTTGAATTTACTTCACAGATTTATTGTAATTATCATTTAAACCAAATGTCTGAGTGCTGGCAGGTTGTGTTATTCTGACAGGCTCAGACGAACGACTGCTGCCATAAAATATGACGTTGACTCTGGGCCCGAGGCTGAAAGGGTTTTTTTTATTTTAACATTTTGCAATCATAATTTTGTCCCTAGTTGCACCACTGCATCCTACAATTAAAGTGTGTTTATATATTACCCAATATTTTTATTTCACCCATTTTATTTTAAATCCCAAAGAGTATATGAATATGTTTGGTTTATTGTATGTTACATTCCTTAATTCTTTTGCTTGTGCTTGTAAACCATTATTATTATTATTATTATTATTATTATTATTATTATTATTATTATTATTAAAATTTTTGCTAAAATAGGGTTAATATACTATAGACATTTTGTTAGACAACCAAACGCATGTTTAGCTCTGTTGCGCCAAAATAATATATAACACACATCGGTCCGTATCCAGCCCTCATTTCAATTAGTGTGGCCCAACAGAGCTAAACTTACATTTAGTTGTTTAAACCTGAATTTTCTTCTGTTTGAAGTCTGAGGTCTGTGTCGTTACAGTAGCTTTGGGTTTCTGGAGACAGTCACTCACTATTTTGGTAACTTTATTTTACCATGATGGAAAAAACACCCAAGGATGTTTACATTAAACTGTGGGTCTTACTACTCCAATCTAAGACATCATTTCTGTTGGCAGGTTTACATTTATCTCATCAATCAATCCATCTGGTTTCAACTTGTCAGTGTGTTTTTTCTCACACTGTCCTTTGCATTCAGATCACACTATAGTTCTTGGTCAGTTTTTAATGTCTTCCTCCTGTTTTTTTTTTTTTTTCATAGAACAATATAAAGCTAAATTAAGCTCAGTGGGTCATTATCAAAGTCGGCTAATAATAAAAACAAAGAATTGTATTCTGAATGCTAGGCCAAAATGTCTGTGCTCTAGATATAAGCAATCTGGAAACACTTTCCAAATACTTCCAAAATGTATGTTTTACCCGACGACTCCTTCTTAGTACATGCTCTGATGTTTAGTTGGAGAAAGAATGAAACCAAACATATGTTCCTCTTTGTGTTCCTCTCAAGGTGCGGTGAGCGATGTCTGTCTTTTGTACATGAATAAATCACACACACACGCAGTACACGGCTGGAGCAGGAGAACTGGTGTCTTGATTCCTAGACAGACACACTCATGCACTTTTAATGGGATCCCTCTCTTAAATCATGGGATTCCTCTGCTGAGCCTGACCCTCTTTTCCTAAGTGTGGATGTGAGCTGGTGCCTACAAGCATGTGTGTTACGCACACACACACACACACATACAAAAAACCAGAGAGAGGAAGCGCGTGTGGAGATATGGATGAAGGCCATCCATTGGCCCTGGGGTGCGATTTCAGTTGGCCAGAGGGAGAGTCAGCGAGTGGTCCCCAGACCCCCCAAACCCCACGGCCTGAAATCAAACCTCGTTGCAAATACACTTCCTGGACTGAGCACTGAACAGTAGAATGAACATAAAACATTTACATCTTTATTAATTAAAGTTACAGTATTTCTTTAATTAATAATTCCGCTCTATAGCTTTGATGCAACATATTCCAGGGTCCACACTAACATAGCATGAATGTTAGCTCATATAACGCTAACATGATATCAATACCAGAATAATTTTTCAAACATTCAAACATTTAAAGTTAATTCATTGGCACTTAGTAGTAGTGAAAGGTCAGAAAAGAAGAGGTCAAATTCCTCTGTGTCTGAAGAGGAGTGTCTTAAATGTCAAAACAGAAAGAACTGTTTCAAATTTATAATTTTGTGGGGGGGGAAATACAGAAGTCATGGGGAAATATTTGATAATGAATTTTTTAAGATTTAAGATTTTCAGATTTAAATTTGCCACTCTATAATATATATATATATATACATATATATTATTATTATTATTATTATTATTATTATTATTATTATTACAGTGTTCTTTGTTTAATAATGCTCATTCTAACTCTGTTTTAATGGTTTCTCTTTATTTTCACCATTATTTCCCGTGTTCCAGCATCCTGTTTCTCCCACTAAACATATTCCCTCAGTGGAGATCGTTTGTTTTCACACATGTATTCTCTGATGGGGAAGAAATTGCTGGATTATGAACATGTGTGTGACTCTGTGAAGTATGTAAGAAGAAGAAGCAGATTGAATAAAAAATGAACTGATGGAGCAGCTGTTCCATATTTATTACACAGCAGGCACTTAGAGCCTGAGCACAGAGGAAATCTCTGCAAGTTTCTTTATGTATGTATGTTTGTTTGAGCATGTGTGTGTGCGTGTTGACTGCTCTGTTGCCATGTCAGAGCTCACAGGAGCGACATAGCAACTGTTTATGGGTTTTTGCTTTAGCTTTATTTATTTATGCATTTATTTATTTGTTCTCTGGTGAACAGGATTAGCTCTGAATTATGGAACAGTCCCCTTTCTCTCCTTAAGTAAAAAATAACATCTGTCCGGCAAATGGAGACTTTAGAGTTTCTCTATAATTGATGGTAAAAGCCTCCAGAGCCGCACATAAAATATACATCCTGCATGCAGGCCCTCACCCCTGCCCCTCCTCCCCCCAAAACAAAAGAAGGCGAAAGAATGAGAGGTAGAAGAGAAGGTGGTGGAGGAGAAGGTGGCGGTGCAGGAGAGGGAGGTCAGTGAGGAAAAGAAGAAAACAGGAAAAAACAGATGAAGAAAATCAGATGTTTGTAAATGACTGGTTGTCATGCTTTTAGCAAATTTAGAGGAAAAATTCTATTCTGCACAAATAGTTTCAGCATGTAAAAGTCACGCATATAGTGTATAGTTCATCAGGGTTATTAATAAATAAATAAATAAAAATCCTTATTCCCTTACACTCCACTGTTGTCTGTCGCTGAGCATTGTACTTCAGACCATTAACAGCTTGGTCTCCAGGACCTATCAGATATGTATAGTTTAGGGTAGCAACACTAAACGTTTATTTTCCTCTAAACAAATTTCTAAAACCTCATATAAGGAAATATAGGTGGATGGCTGTAAATGAAATCAAATAACCTGGAAACTTAAACGCCTCACAGTCAGGTTGGCCTGGTTCATACCATATTGTTTTCTTTAGCTGTTGTGTGTATTGATAAGGGAGTGAAAAATGTAACACTGGGAAATGTAAACACAGAAGCACTCAGACGGTCATCTGGGAAACACAACACTCAATAAATGGACACACACATAAACACACACACACACAATAGGGAATTAATCGTTTATCGTTGTTTGTTTGTTTGTTTGTTTTCTTCCAGGCTACCAGAGATGGGCGATAGCTGCAATAATCTAAGGGAACTGTTCTACTAAATGTTTCATTTATTCACGTACAATTGGGAAACCAGTATAGCATACACATTGTTAGGTACATAGTATCAATAAAGGTCTACAGTGACATCTACTGGTAAAAACATATCATTGTTGCCATTTTCCATTTTTTTAAATATTTTACCAGCGCAACTTTCTCAGGTAAAATTCATATGTAAATACGATAGTCGTATTTCCAACGCGTATGATGATCTTCTTCTTTTTATTTATTATTTTTTATCTATTCCCTGCTTTTCAGACGCTCGTTTGACTCCTATACAAAATACATAACCAGCTACTTTTAAAATCAATGTTTTATTGTTTATCAATAATAATCACTGCTATTCTGATATTAGTTTTATTATTATGATGAATTTTGTTGATATTACTATTGAAAATTATCTTTGCGGAACCTTTGTATGAAACGCGTTCGCTGACGGACTCATATAGATGTGGGACGGGAGCGATGGAAAAATGGCAGCCGCTGTTGTACAAATGTCATGTTTGTACCGGGGCATGTTAGCGGTCCGGGCCACAGGCATCAGGACACTGATACCTGGGCTCGTCCCTTCACAGTTTCGAGCCTTCTCTGTGCGTAAGGAACCAGAACTGGAGGAGAATCCGTTTTACAACAAATACCAGGACAAAATCCAGAAGCTACGCAGGTTAGCTTAGGGGGCCTCCGAAACAAAATATAAGACCTACTTAACTAGAGGGTAAGTCATTTTCTGTGTTTCTACTGCATTCAGCTCCAAACCACAGGAATACAAAGTTCGACTTGAGAACCGCCACGATGCCAAGAAGGAAGTCCTCGGAAACTCGAAGCAGGCAGAGTTTGTCAGGATCATGGAACAGGAGGTGGAGTGTCATGCAGTCTTAACTAAGAGAATGTTCTAAAGATCGGGCCTGTGGTCCCTCTGTGGCCTCTGACCACCACTTTATATGATATTAAGTGACTCTTGTGGGAATGTTTTCAGTTAGAGAAACGGGACAAGATGGCCACTGAGGATGGAACATCAGGAGGGTTCACCAGGAATAAGGTGAGAGGAGAGTTTGTTGATGATTATATTCTGTCTGAAATTATTATAACAAAACAATGGCTGTGTTTTCAGACTCTGAGCTCAATCTTCAACCTGGAGTTGATCCAGGACAAAACAGGGGAAGAGATTGCTGAGGTGAGTCTGTGAGGGACTGAAACTGTTGACATGTGAAGGCTGTTTTTTTTTTTTCTAGGACAGATGTTTTGTGTTGTTTCTGCATCATAATGTTGTTTATTGTTGTTGTTTGCTCTGCATATGCAGAAACTGTTATTTTCTTACTGTTTTTAGCCTTTATGAGGAACTTTGTGCTACCTCAAGCATATGAAAAGTGCCATATGAATGAAATTTGACTTTCCTTTATCTGAGAATGCTGATCATCCATATTTGAAAAGCATGTGATATATTGACTGAAGGTGAGGATTAGTCAGTATCATCATCACATTCTCCTGTTTGTTTTTCAGCTTTGGATGAAGTATTACTCAACCAAGGACACAATAAGTGCCGTCATTCCGGTGAGTTAAAAACCAAAGGAAACTTTTATACTTTTTTACTTTGTTTATATGGGCCTCAGTGTGAAAGACCTGTCACTATTTCTTTGTCTGTTTTTTTACATGATGTGTTTAATGTCACTTTTTATTTAAGTGATATGTTGAGGAAATTACTTTTATTGTTTTGATGTTGTATTTTTAAATGTTATCCCAGGGGGAACACCTACCATTCACTAACTATTTGAAATAATTTCTCTTTTAGATTTGTGTTTTATTGAAGCAGTAATAATAATAATAATCACCTGCTGTCTGTCCTGTTATGTTGTGTTGTCTTTTCCTAAATTACAGACACAGATCTATGAGACGATTATCAGCAGGTCACAGTCCTGTCCAATGGTGAGGTCACTGATGCTCAGCTGATTTATACATTAAAGAATGCAGGTTATTGTGTGGGACCAAATTATAACTCGTCTCCTCTTCCCCAGTTCCTCTACGCTTTGCCTCAGAAGGAGGGTTATGAGTTTTTTCTGGGTCAGTGGTCTGGAAATGAGCTCCACTTGACGTCCCTCATCAACGTACAGGTGTTTTCAATAATGACACTCTAGGACATAAACAAACATTTGTCAAAAAAAAATTTTTTTTACTCATGAGTTTTACTGATTACAAATCAATCTCAAGTTTCTAACAATGTCTTTTTTCAGACATTAGGTGAAAATGCTCCCAGTCAGCTGATCCTCTACCACTACCCAGAACTGAAGGATAACAAGGGTGTGGTCTTCATGACTGCCGAGATGGACCCCAAGTTTATCGTAAGTCTTTGTTCTGCAACCTAATGACAAGCTGCTCCCAAAATAAGCAGAGTGGCTGCAGGATGACACTCAGCCCACACAGGCCCTGTCCAATGTCCTGTTGCTCTTCACTGCCAACATGTTCTAGCCCAAAGTGTGTCATTTCTAAGACAACATGCTGTCTGTTCTTCTCAGACTGTCCACCAGGCTCAATGCTTGGCCAACCAGGTGCAGCTCTTCTACGGCACACAGAGGCAGGAGACGTTTCAACTGGTGGAGACATTCAACCACCAACCTGCAGACTTCAAACACATGATGGTGATAGCAGAGCTGGAGCAGAGCGGCCTGGGCCCAGCAGTGTCCCCTCAAGAATCTTAGTGGACTGAAGTCACTGTCAGGCTGAGGTCACTCTCAGACTGAGGTCACCATCAGATCATCACGTGAACTCTTGTCCTTCTCACACATCTCCTCTGCTCATCTCTCTACACTGGGATTAATAGAACTTGATTTTCATACTGCGTGTGAACTTTTCATTCACAACTATTGAAGTATGAACTGTAGAAATGTCTGAGGTTTTTTTTTTGTTTAAATCACACATTATTTTTAACATTTTTTTTCATCTGCTCTAACATCTACTTTTATATCAGTGAGACCTCTTTAAGTAAAAGTGCATCATCAGAAAATAAATGTATATATTTATTTAACACCCATCAATGTACTGTCAGAACAGTATTTCCTGTAGATAAACTCAAGTAATGTACAAAAATGTCATGCAAAAAGTCCACACCAATAAAAAGTTTTTATCCATATCCTGTTACTTCGGATATAAATAATCTTTCTTTTTTTAAATATGTAGTTCAACTTTTAAACCACGAAAAAAAATAATAAATTTAACTGAACTAGTTAAAAGTCGAAGGTCTGTAGTATTAACTGTAGATGACATTTAGTCATGTAAATAAATTTAACTGAACTAGTTCGAAGGTCTGTAATATTAACTGTAGATGACATTTAGTCATGGAGCAGAACGAGAAGTAAAATGCACTTAGATCAAATTTCAAGATATGTATGTAATCCGCCACAGGGGGGAGCCAAAGTCTTTGTTTTGCTGTGGGTTGGGTTTTTCAGATTTTTAGTGTATACGTGATTAATTATCTTGCCTTACAGGAAAACACTTTCTCCAGGTCCCCCGATCCCACCCCACCCAAATATTGGTGTGAATGGTTGTTTCTCATGACATGTGACCCTGTGATGGACCGGCAGCCAGCCATGACCACTGAGATTGGCTCCACCCAGGAAAGAAGTACTGCTGACTGGACGTGGTTGCAGTTTATTTGGGGTAATTTCTTTATTTATTTATTCTTGCGAATCTGACTGTTTTTTTTATCACTTCATAAGCTTTTATTATTTATTTATTTAATTTTATCTCTGTGTCAGAGGCTGAAGTAGAAGAAGACGGAGGAGGCTGTACCAGAATTTGGAACTCGATGACAGGATGAGGTCGCTGTAACCTGCCAGGTTTTTAGTTTTTTTTTCTTTCTTCTGGTGCAGCATCTTCCTCTTTTCATAGGCTCCACTCAGGTACTGAGGAACTCAAACACACATTACTTTTTCTCCCTTTATTGGGTTTTATATGAAGAATTCTGTGCAAATCCCCAAATGGAATCTTCAGGGATGATCAGTGAAAATTAAAAAAAATCTAATCTGAACAGCTTCATTTACTCACATATTTAAATACACAGATTACAAAGTTTCCATTTAAGTCATCGACATTAGGAATATTTGAATAAAAATCATAGTATTTAAAACTTTAATTATTGGCTTTCTGTACTTGAAACTTCAGTATTGATCACATACTTCACTTCTTAGAACACTACTCATGTCAAAACATTATAGTAAAACTCAAAATTATTCAATCAATCTGATCTCTATTATTCTAGACCCCAGTAATAATTGTGACTGTAATATACAGTACAGTATGGGGCTGGACTATTTGTAGTATTATCGTAAACCGCATGGAAAAAAAAGTAAAGAAAGGGAGAAAAGTCAAAACATATGTCATGGTTTTCCTGCGGAGTCTGTTAATGTCACATTAGAACCAGTATAAGTTCTCCTCTCCTCCATTATTACATCATCAAATCAGAACTACAATATTTAAACTCTTAAACGACACGTCTTGTTATTTTCATTTGAAAATGAAAAAGTTATTAAAAACTTAAAAAAAGAAGAAACTATATATTCCTCTGCAGGAACTCTGGTCTAATTAACAACTAAAATAACACTTAATAAGTCTTAAGTCTTTTTGTTTCTTCTGTTTAAAAACTCATATATATGTATTTTGTTGGTCTTTTTGTTTCTTCTGTTTAAAAACTAGTTTCAACAGGAGTTTTCATGTCAGTTTTACATTTATTTTTTATATTTTGTTTGGAAAGTTAAGTAAAAGGTGCATTTAAAAATTATCTCTGTGCTTAGTGAGTATCTGGAGAAAGTACTGTACAAGTGTGGATCATATATTTGTACATTTCATCAGACACACGGCCCGATTTGTCCTGAAATGTGACGGCAGTCCACTACAGATTTGCTTTAACAGTGGGATTAGGATTTCCATTTATAATCTGAATCACATTATTAAAGGGACACTTATTTGTGATTAACCTTTTGTCCTTCTTTTCTATCTGTTCACATCAAATGAAGTTTTCTCAGGAAGAGGAAAAGTCAGTGTTGTTTTGTTTTTCTCCAAAATGACCAACTCAGAGCAGTCTAATAAAATCCGAGGGTACCTGAACGACTCAGGAGGAATGTCACCTTCAGTGCTTTGACTCACTTTAAAATCAGTTTCTGCTACAACAAGAAAAATTAAAATCTATTCCCCTACACTGTCTCTGTAAGATGGCGTATTAGGGCCACTGTTAAAAAAAAGATATATATAAAAAAAAACACAAAATTAAAGTCGTAAATTCATGAGAATAAGTCGGAACATTACAGGAAAAAAGTCTCAACTTTGTGAGAATCGTCATTTTATTAATTCATTTATATTTAACGTGGCCCTAACTCCACCAACGATCTTTGACTACTGCATCTAAAAATGAAATACTTGCATTCTTCTTGCTTTCCATAATAGTGGTTCAGTTTTCAAAACACTACAACAAATTCTGCCTGGTAACCACGTTCCATTCACTTGAATGGAAAAGTCTCCAGTCACTGGGAATAAGGTTTTTTTCCAACACAATAAATTGTGTTCATTATCAAACGTAAGTCTGTACATGGCCTCCATGGTACCATCTGCTCCCTGAGTGCGCCCTCTACTGTCCAATGTCAGTACATGGCCTCAGAGTCTCTGATGCTTCCAAAGGACAAACTGAATGTGCCTCCGAGTCTTTTGGTGATAATACCTCCTTCTCTTTTCTTCTTTCTGTTCCAGTTCATCAGCGAGGCCGAGCTAAGGCCTTTAGCGCCGCCCAGGAGACACTGGCGAGTGTTTTCCTTGTCGCTGCAGTGGGAGAGCATGAAGATGCGCCTCTCTGCCTGCTGGCAGGAACAGGTAGTGTATCAGCTGGGGCACAAAAATATAAAAAAATTGCTGAAGCTCCAAACACTAACTGCTCACAGTTTTGTACCTGTGTGTCATGTGGGTGTAACGTCACCACACGCAGCTCCACTCCTTGGTCGCTGCCGCCCTTCAGCATTAGAACGACATCACTGTGTTTGGCCCACTTACAGTCCTGACCGTCCACTGCTACGATGTAGTCTCCTTCCCTCAGTCCTGCCTCCTACACAGTACAAACATGAGGAGGAAATAGTAAGATATTTGTTTCTGTTCTTGACAAAAGGCATTTTAACTTGTTATGCACTTGTCTGTTATATCAATATATTGAGCCTAGTTCTTTAGGCCACTGAATAATTAGTCTCTCAAGACTTGAATTTTTTTTTCCAATGCACACTCAGTGCAACGTAGAAGAAAACATCAATACCCTGATGTACTGCGATATTTCATTTCACGATACTGTATCAATATTCAACAGCATTGTAACAATGTTTTTTTAACAATTACTAGTCAAATATTCCTGGTGTTGGTTCATTTTATTTTTATTTTCTTTCTTCTCTAGTGATTTCAAATGTATATCCCTCTGTTCCAGTGTTAGTGACCTGATGTTAAAATGGAACAGCATTGAGTCTTTACTATGGTGACAGTTTGAATACAATGCAATTGTATATTGTTGTGCCTAAAGTATCGCAATATATCGTATTGGTGCCCCTGTATTGTGATACATATCATGTTGTCAGATTCATTCCAATACACACTCCTAGAAACACGTGTTGGAATCAACTTAGCCCTCACGTGTTTGTATGCACTGAACACTGATTATAAAAATGACATCAACCCTCAGGGATGTTTTTCCTTTTATTAAAATAAACCTTGATTTCCATTCACGCCTCCAAATGTTCAGAGTTTCACTCCTGACTCACTCCAGTCTGACCTTCTCTCTAACGTAACACAAATTGTTTATTGTGTGTGTTTCATTACCGCTGCACAGCCTCCAGGCACCACTCCTGCCACCAGGACGGGGGAGTCTCCTCTCAGTGTGAGGCCCAGTCCTCCCTCTCTCCTCTGCAGACAGATCACTCTCACCGAGCCCCAGCGAGCACGTGCACAGAACACAGACAGAGGGCCCTGCAGAGGAAGGGGAATTCTTTGGCTTAAAAACATTTTGTTTTTATATCAACTGTTTAAAGCGCTGTCTTTTGTGAGCAGTTCACCAGTCTTTGGAAGATGTCTGTAACCTGGACAGTAGAAAACTCAGGTGGAGTGATGTCAGGTTTCTGGTGAGTTTCGGCTGTAAACGGCAGAAACCAATAATGATTAACTGTCCTATTTACTATTACTGTTACTAATGACAGATGACTTGTTACTCACACTGTATCTCTGGAGCCTCTGCAGTTTCATCAAAGTCGTCCTCTCGGTCCAGCTCTGAGTATTTGTCCAAGGAACGCTTGTGTGTGAGAGACAACACGTCCTGCAGAATGTCCATCTTCCTCAGGATTTTACACAGACTGTGAACACGCATGGCCTCCTCGTGTCTGATCACTGCACAGCGCAGGTGAGCTTTACCTGGACACACATACAATTTACCAAAATCTACAAAAAAAAAACAACTGCAAGCAGTTCGGCGGCTGATGTTCAAAACTGTTCAAAATCACAGTTTGTTATTGTTATTGTTATTAACTTTTATTATAAAATGACCACATTTAAAAGTTTTATTTGTTCTCCTGTATAATAATGATAATGATAATTAAATTGTCATTCACAGTCAACAATAGACGTCTGCTTTACACACTGACCGAGCTTTCGTCTTTTTTCAGGGTCCTGTAAAACTTGGCTGAGTGAGGGTCCAGCAGGACTGTTGACATAGAACTGAAGGAAAGCTTTCTCAGCCTCTTCCACATGCTGCTGTTGTTTCTCTTCACCCCCCTCCTTCTTCTCTTCGTCATCATCAGTAGATGCTGGACAAATATATAAGCCGATAGTTTTTTGACCAGGACATGTCCAGAATATATGTATATATATATATATGTATATATATGGCTTGATACAACTTTTAGTTCTTCGTGTCCATTGATGATGATTGTTTTACTTACTCAGGTGATCACAGAGAGTGACAGCAGTGTAGTAATGGGACAGTGCTCGGAAATGTTCCGATTTGACCTGGACCATCGACGCCCATGAAAACGGCACGTAGTCTTTCATCAGCGGCTGCGTCACGGCCTGCTGCACTAACAGGTACATGTCCGACACCTGCCGGAGTCACGTGTACAGCAAGTACAGAGTGAGTAACGGCAACAATGCTTATCTGATGTAGAAACACCAACATGGCGGCGATGTGCTCACTGACCCGTGTAGCTTCCTGTGCCAGCCGGAGTTGAGATGTGAAGTGTGAATCGCGTGTCGTGAGAGTGACGCGCTCAAAGATGCACTCCTGCACCTGAGCAACCATGAGCCGGACCAGCATGCAAAGCGACGGTGCGCTCATGTCCAGACTGGGGGCGTTGGAGAAATTGTCCTTCAGGTAATTAAAGGCACCTGAACACACACACACACACAAGAAAAAGGATAAAATTGAAATGAAAACTGACTTAATCACTACCAATAAAAAACATAATAGCATAATGTATTTTGCATTGTATTACTGTTACTGTATTTAAAATTTGACTGTGATTAAGTCAAAACAGAAAAACTTGTTGATCAGTTCAGAAAATTTAAAGAGTTTCCACTGATGGAAATTTTTCAAATAGTGTTTCAGAGCTGATGTTTGCTGAATTAAATACAGGCAATAACATTATTAAGGTCTGAGACATAAACGGGTTCCACTTCTATTGTTTCTGTTCTGTGCTGATCTTTGGCATCTCACTGAACCAGTGAACTAAGCTTGTGAACGGTGTGTGTGCTTTGGTTGGTTGTTCTTTTGTGGTCCAGTACCTGCCGCTCTCTGAAAAGCATCTATGGCTCGGTCGATGCCCGCAGCCTCAGATCTGTCCTGTCTTGCTCCAATCTGTGTGTACAGCGCAGCGATGTTGAACAACACACTACCTTTCTCAAAGGCCAAGGCGCGCTGACACGATGGGACGCCTGTCAGAGAGTCGTACCTGCAGGAGGTCGACAGTTAATAATCTGCATATTCAGATTGGTCCACATGGAAATCATCTTTACCTTTACACAATTTATCAAAGCTGACACACACTGTAGCTTAAAGTTCCCAGTGTCACCTGAGTAGGAATGACCTACCAGTGGAAGAGGACTCCAAGGTTCTTGTTCGGGGAGAAGAACCGCTGGTCCAGATAGAAAAGCTGGTTGTAGTACTCCATCAGCAGCTCCAGACCTGCCTGACTACGACTGGGTGTACGCATGGCCTGGTTCAAGATGACAGAAATGTTCGGATTTTACCAAGTTTGAATGTAGATCTTCCTTGTTTATTTGATCATTTTACTCTGAGCAAATCAGTTAAGACATGAGTAATCCCTAAAACATACAGTCATGATGGGTTTTAACCATGAAGCTCGGCTCTTACATCAAAGTTATGAATATAGCTAAAAGCTGTAATAGATAGATATTAAGGCCAAAAAAAAAAACATGACCAGATTGTTTTAGCCACTGCCACGGGCAACTCTGATTTTCCACAGCAGCCTTGATCAAACCAGATGTAATATGGAAGCAGACAAATGTTTGTTTTAAACTTAAGTTCCACGAGTGAATTTATGAACCTGTCTGAGCTCCATAAGCTCCTTGATCTCCTTGTCATAAAGCGAGCTGTCCTCTCCATAGTGCTCACAGATGAAATCCTGTGAGAGGAGACAGACAGACAGACACGAAATGAGGAGAAGAATCACAGCAGATAAATACTTTTGGGGATACAAATACATAATATTATCCAAGTCAAAAAGTATGACCTTGAAACTACCTGGTGAACTTGACCTCACCTGTATGGAAACAGTGAAATCCACCTCTTTGGTTTCTTTAAGGCCAAGTGGGATCATGGGAACATTGACGGTATCGCTGTGGAAAGAAATGAAGACATAAATCAGTGGTCATCAACTGTAAGCCCATGGGCCAACTGCGGCCCACCAAAATATCCAATCTGGCCAGTGACAGGATTCCAAAATAAATATCAAATAATGTTAGACAAAAATGTGATTTTGATTATCAGTGTGTCTAGGTGCCTAGGTGTCTGTCTGTTGGTGACCCCTGACATTAATGATAGCATGTGTTTGTCATTGTATCATGTCGACATCACGTTGTCGTCAGTTTGTCGTCTAACACTCCTCACTGCTTTATCCTGCTAATAAGCACGGCTAAATCCAAGTATTAACTCTTACAGATCCGACCCCTGACCCCTGCCGTCCTCCAGCAGTGGCCTTCTGTTACTGAGAGTGAGTACACCTTACATACACAGCCTGGTCATTAATGACACTCACTACACTAATCATGGGACTTATCTCTGCCATGACCTGGAGAAGAGCAGAGGAAAATCTGTCAAACTGTTAATTCTACACTAACCCAAAACCCAGGTCATGCTGTAACTCTGGTCTGTTAAAATTAAAAACTTTCAAATAAAACAGTACACAAACAACTGAGCTGTTGCAGCCCAACAGACAAACAATTATCCATGAAACACTGTTACTGTATCAGTCCAGGACTGATACTTCATTGAAATACCTCAAATTGTACTCTGTAAGTAGGTCAACAATGTCAGTTTGGAGATATTTTAATGTCAGGGACAAAGAAGAGAGCGAGACCTACTGTAAGATATGTTCTGTTATGATGCAAGCAGTTACCAAAAAAAAAAACATCTAAAATGGGCCTCAGCAGAAAGAACAATAACTGTCAGTTTAGTGTTTGAACATTTGAACAAGTCACATTTTTCATGAGCGTTACATGAAATGTTTTTTAAATTTTAATTTCTTTATTGAAACAAGGGAAAGGTGCTACACAACTGAAATGATACTTGTGATGCTTGCTGATACTGTACAGACTGACTCACCTGTCGGTCTGATAGACCTCCATGTTGCTGTTGAGCTCCTCCAGTTCTTCTTTCAGCAGCTGCAGGTTAGAGTTGACGAAGCTCAACTCCAGAGCCACAGTTTCTCTTACTTTGTTGTTGTTTGTTGCTCTACAAGATACGAATAAGCATTTTGTCTAATTTCAAAAGATGGTTTGTGCTCATTTCTCGACGGTTGTTGAATCAGGTACTGCTGACACAAATACTTGTCAACAAGAAGCTTTGAGTTAAACAGGCATAGTGCAGATTGCCTAGAACCTTTTTTGATCAAATAATGCTGCTTTTTTGTTGGTCCGGCAAAACCAATGTATACCAATAATATTAGCAAACCCTTAATTTAATTTTTCTTTACCATGTTTGAAAAAAAAAAACAATGCAGAGAAACTGGAACCAAACATCAGCTCAGTGTGTGCTGTAGGTGTCCTTTAGGGCTCATAGCCTCAGACCTGTTTTTGACTTAAAACTGTGTTTAATTTATGCGTCTGTCTCTACAACAACTCGTCCATCATCCTCTGTGTATTCAGGCCAACACTCCTCACTCCTCCTACTGCTCCTCTGAACACAAGCGGGGTCAATGACACACCAAGTTCCTGGAAATCTGAGGCATCACCAGGTTACCGTGGTTACTAATGATATACATTTGAAACCCAAGTGGAAATGAAACCCACCGGCAGAAAAACTTAAAATGATCTTAATGTAAAAAATGATAATGCTAGAAGGACTTTGTCCAACTTTTTTTAAAAATCTGCCAGTCTCTTTTATTTATTATTATCCTTGAATCTCTGACATGTCTGAAGAAGTGAAATGTTTAGAAGCCAAATTACATACCAGGAGCCAAATCAATCTCTGACCCACATCCCGAGTAACTCAATCACTGAGCCTACAAGCTGAAAAGCTGAATATACAGGAGTAATTCATCCCATTGGACATTTTTCCAACTGGCTCAGTGTGGATAAAATCCTGGAGGTCATGGAGTTCATTCACAGTCAGCCGTGGTCGTTTGATGTTAAACCAAAACATCTGCCTTTAAAAATGCTGCTGGAAACACAACAAATATCTTGATTTTTTTTTAGAAAACTTCAAAAAAGTATGTCTAATACATTTACATGTAATACATGTCAGTTTATTTCAAACAACACTGTATCTACATAATTCAGAGGATCAGGCAGAAAGAAATCTGATTAGTCAGCTTTACACAGACCAAACAGAACCACCTGCAGACACAGTGTACTTCAGTTAATGTGGAAGAAAAACACATTTTTCAGTAGAACACAGTATGTATTGGTAGTAAAAACAGGATATCACAGTTTAACTAGCATCATCTACCCGGTCTGTATTAGTTACTGCCTCCCAGCTGAGTTCCCACAGAGACTCAAACTCACACAAACCCTGATGAGTTGCAGCCCATCAGTAACTACTCACACCTCATGTCCAACTGCACTCATATCATAACCCATTTTTTTTCACTGTGAGTGAATGTGTGGTCTGCTGCAGATGAGCTGAAAAAAGGGGGAGAATAGGGATAAAAAAGGTCTGACAGTGGCAGACAAACCAGTGGGGGGTGAGCCTGCAGGACATGGGAACAGAGCAGGAGGTGGACACAAAAGACAGCTGATTACAGGCAGGCAGGCTGTGTGTGTGTGTGGGGGGGGTGCCTTTGTCTTTATGACCCACTGCTCCAATAGAACTTGTTTCATTTCCCCTTAACAAATGAATGAATTCATAACAACAACTAATCTCATATAAATTTAACATGTCTCTGGGTACTTTTGTTTTGTTTGGTCTAATCTTTAGCCATCTTTAAGCTTATCTGAAATTATCATTTGGACTTATCTTTTAGGGTAACCATTAACCTAAACCTATATATTTTATTATATTTAGTTAAATTTGTCTCTATTTGAAATTTCTTGTCTGGCAAATCTTGGACTTTTTTCCACAGACTTTATTACTTTACATATTTTTCTTATATTTTTTTGGATACATGTGAATTTTATCAATACTGCCCAAACAAGTCCTGCAGGAAAAGTGAGAAATACAGTTTGTGTGGTTTGTTGATTTTTTGTGTTGATCAGATTCTGACAGGGCACAGCTAAGGAGGCAGAAAGCAGCTCCTTGCTTTAATTAAGGGGCTCCTCGGGGGGGTGCCTTTGTCTTTATGACCCACTGCTCCAATAGAACTTGTTTCATTTCCCCTTAACAAATGAATGAATTCATAACAACAACTAATCTCATATAAATTTAACATGTCTCTGGGTACTTTTGTTTTGTTTGGTCTAATCTTTAGCCATCTTTAAGCTTATCTGAAATTATCATTTGGACTTATCTTTTAGGGTAACCATTAACCTAAACCTATATATTTTATTATATTTAGTTAAATTTGTCTCTATTTGAAATTTCTTGTCTGGCAAATCTTGGACTTTTTTCCACAGACTTTATTACTTTACATATTTTTCTTATATTTTTTTGGATACATGTGAATTTTATCAATACTGCCCAAACAAGTCCTGCAGGAAAAGTGAGAAATAAAGTTTGTGTGGTTTGTTGATTTTTTGTGTTGATCAGATTCTGACAGGGCACAGCTAAGGAGGCAGAAAGCAGCTCCTTGCTTTAATTAAGGGGCTCCTCCTTCTCCTGAGTGGAGTTCTTCTGAGTAACAGTTTTCTAAGACCGTCTGCATCTCAGACATTTGCATGACAGGCCTTTCACATTATCCAAAAGCCACAACAAAGGTATGGAGCAAACGTATGCACATATATTAAATGTAAAGAGTGCTGCTTCAGTCGTCTGCCACTGGCTGAAAGACAAAACTGCACAGTGAGACAGAGCAGAAGGAGAGAAGCTGGATAGGATAAATATGACGCTGATGTTCTCAGACAGAATTCTCTGATGGTGTGCCACCATTTTTTTGGGTTCCCACATTTCTTCACCAATAAAAATTTCTCCACTCTTGCTGTGTGAATGACAGCCTGCTGCTCATGAAGCACAAAGCCAGCACAGTTGATTTGGCCAAGTTGGTGCTCATGCTGCAAAAGTATGCAGCCTCAATTATTGTTCCAAGTATGAGATTTAAATCAAGTACTCCTATTAAAAAGGCGAGAGAAATCGCCACAAAATTTAAATAAAAAAAAAAACCAAAAGCTAAAAACCACATAAAGATACATGTTCACACACAGTGAACACAAACACGGCCATAAAACTGGGTGGTACTAGTGTGTCGGTGCATGTATTTGAGGGACTGATCTCTGACCTTTTCCCAACAGTGAACTGCAGCACAAATGTGACAAAAGCACAAACAAATAAGAGTCAAACACAGGGGCATAAACCTGGTGACTGCATGACACAGGGTGACAGCTTTAGCCACAGAAAAGTGTTTGGTCCATTTCATAAAAAGTAAGATATTCTGGCATTAAGCTGTGTTTTTTTGTTATTTTTTAAACAATTTTTTAAAATTTGAAAACTTTTAAAATAAAATCAATATATTGACATTTGGTCAATGACCTACATTCTAAGACCACAATTTTTCAAGTATGATGATGCTGCAGTGAGTTCCCTCCATACACACTATGATTTGGCAAAGAGTTAATGTCATATTGTAATCCTTCTGGTATGTAGACCCAGAATCAAACCCCTAACCCTCTGGTAGGAAGAGGACTGAAACTTATCTCCACAGCTGTGTACACAGAATTAACAATGACTGAGTGCAGACAACAACACGTCAGCAGAACCTTCATGTGATAACACTGTCGCACTGC